AGGGCTGCCTGTCCGCCTCCTTCAACTGCGTCTTCCTCTACACCACCGAGCTCTACCCCACCCCCATCAGGTACCTCCCCAGCCCCACGTCCCCTCGGTGGGACAGGTCCTTGCCACCTCTCCCCGGACACCCCCTGGGTGCTCCGAGCCCCCCGTGACCCTCCCGGCGCCGCAGGCAGACGGGGCTGGGCTTCGGCAGCACCATGGCGCGCGTGGGCGGCATCGTGGCGCCGCTGGTGAAGATGATGGACGAGTACTACCCCTTCCTGCCCCCCGCCGTCTATGGGGTGGCCCCGGTGGTGGCGGCCGTGGCGGCCGCGTTCCTGCCCGAGACCCTCAACACGCCGCTGCCCGACACCATCGAGGAGGTGGAGAACAGGTGGGTGGGCAGCAGGGAGAGACGCAGAGTGGGTGGATGATGGATGGATGATGGATGGGCGGTGGACAAGGGTTGGATGGACATTGGATGGATGATGGACAATGATGGACAATGGATGAAGGATGGACAATGATGGACAATGGATGGATGATGAATGGACAATGGATGGACAATGGATGGATGTTGGATGGACAATGGATGGACAATGATGGATGATGGACAGTGATGGACAATGGATGGATGTTGGATGGACAATGGATGGATGATGGACAATGATGGACAATGGATGGATCATGGATGATGGACAGTGATGGACAATGATGGATGATGGACAGTGATGGACAATGGATGGATGATGGATGGACAGTGATGGAGGATGGACAATGATGGACAGCACCAGCCATGAAGAGGTTCAGGGTCAAGGTGCCCCTGGCTGCATTGAGGGACAGGTGGATGGAGGATGTTGGCAGAAGAACGAGCTCTGTGATTGGCCTAATGCTCAGCCTGGACCCCTCCCCCTGTGCAATGACCTCCATCTCCTCCATCTCCTCCTCCTCCTCCTCCTCTTCCTCCCTCCAGGACAAAGCAGAAGCCAGCAGGTGACCCCAAGGAGAAGATCGCGCTCCAGCCCCAGGACGGGCCCCCGCTGAAGGAGGCCTGAGGGACCCTGGGGGTGGGCGCAGCCCCCCAGCCCCGGCCAGGCCAGCACCACCCCAGGTGGGGGTGGTGGGAGACCTCGGTGGTGACCGGTGACCTCCCGTTGTTGCGGGGACACCCGGGCAGGAATAAAACAGCTCTGGTGGGGACACGTCTCGGGGTCTTATCTGTGCCCCCCAGGTCACCCCCAACAGCCACGTCTGAGGTCACCTCCCACGGGACAATGCCCAAAAACTGTGTCCCTGAGGTGACTTCCAATAAGGGGATAACCAAGAACCCTTTTTTGGGGGTCATCTCCACAGGAGGACACCCCACAACCTTGTCCATCAACAAGGTGGCACCCAAGACCCCCATTTTTGATGGGACCTTGTCCAATAGGATGATGCCCGAGGACGGTGTCCCCGAAGCCACCTCAGATAAGGTGGCACCAAGAGCCATTGGATGTCTCCTCCAAGACAACCCTCAGTAACACCAAACCGACCCCATGTCCTGGTAGAGACATCCCCCAAATCCCAGAGAAGGTGGGGAAGCACCAGGATCTCCCGAATCTCACCCGGCCCTGTCCCGGTGCTGCTGCGATGCCCCTTCCCCGATTTCCGTCCCCCGAAGCCACCCCGGCCCTTGCTCCCGTTCCTGACGTGTTCCTTGGCCCCATCAATCTCCCCGTCAAAAATTAACCCCCGGTGTGGAAATGTGCTGACCCAGGCAGGGCCACCTCTGTCAGCAGCTTTCGGTCGCCTTTTGACCACTGAAATCACTAAAATTTAACCCAAAGGCGCCACCGAAGGCCAGACATTGGCCCAGGCCTGGAGACCTCCTCTCTCTGCCATTCCCACCCTTGTCCACCAAACCTCCTGGATGACCCCTCTCCAAAACCTGACTTTTCCCCTCAAAAAAGCAATGCTGTGAAATAATAATTAAAAGAAATCAGGTATTCCTTGTCTCCTTGACCCAAATGGCTCCAGTTCTGCCCCACTTTGGGGGACTTTTGTCCCTAAAACACCTTTTTTTTTACCCCCTCCCTGGACACCTTTTTCTGCACTTTTGCCTTCTCCTGCTGGAAAACCACCAAAAACCCCCCGGAGATGTCAAACATTAACCCAACCCACCGATGGCTGGGTTATATAGGAGACCACCCCCGGGTGCTGCAGGAGGGAAGGCACCGCGTGGGACCGGGCGGCATTTTTGGGCTGAAACCCCTGAAATCTGGGGCTCTGCATGGCTGTGGGGCGTTCCCAGGCCCCGGCGGTGGCAAGATGGCTTTTGCCAGCCTCCTGGAGCACGTGGGGGGCATGGGGCGCTTCCAGGTGGTCTCGGTGCTGCTCCTGTCCCTGCCCGTGCTGATGATGGCCAGCCACAACCTCCTGCAGAACTTCACCGCTGCCACCAGCGACCACCGGTGCCGCCTGGGCCCGGAGGCCAACGCCAGCGGCCTCGACCCTGAGGCCCTGCTGAGGGTCTGGGTGCCCCGCGGGGAGCGGTGCCAGCGCTTTGTGACACCCCAGTGGTGGCTTCTGGAGGCCAACATTTCGGCGCCCAACGGCTCTCAGCCGGAGACGGAGCCGTGCGGCGATGGTTGGACCTACGACCGCAGCGTCTTCACCAGCACCATCATCACTGAGGTGGGACGGGGAGGGGAGAGGTTTGGGGGGGTCTGGTGGGATTTTCACCCAATTCCATGGGTGGGTCCCACCTAGAGGCACCAACGAAGGGTCTGCTGCCAACACAACACTGACCTCTCCGAGCTGGAGCAACTTCTCCACTCAACCTCCAGTGGAGATACTCAGGAAGCCCCAGGAGGGGAAGGAAGGGATGGAGAATTGGTGGCCATCAACAAGGAGGTCACAAGAGGGTCACAAGGGAGTCACAAGGGGTCACAAGGGGGTCACAAGGGGTCACAAGGGGGTCACAGGGTCCTTGCATGGACCTTCCAGCCATGGTGATGATGGGAAGGGTGGCCAAGCATTCAGTGTCACCTCTCCATTGGCCACTCATTGACCTTACCGGCCACCATGGGTGATTTTGGGGTTCGGGAGGCCAGAGGGGACCCTGATCTCTGTCCCACGCCGTGTCCTTGTCCCTCGGCAGTGGGACCTGGTGTGCAGCTCCCGGGGGCTCAGGCAGCTGGCGCAGTCACTCTACATGGCTGGAGTCCTGGTGGGCGGCGTCTTCGGGGGGCTCTCGGACAGGTGAGGGGTGGCAGGTGGGGTGGCACCACGGGGGTCGTCTCACCCTCTCTGCCTCTTCTTCATTCCCTACTCCTCTTCCTCCTCCTCACCCTCTTTTTCCTCCTCATCCCCTTTTTCTCCTCACCCCTCTCCCTCTTCCTCACCTTCCTCACTCCTTTTTCCTCCTCTTCACCACCTCTTCCTTCCCCTGCCCCCTTCTTCATCTTTCTTGTGTCTACTCCTCCTCCTCTCCACTTTCTCCTCCACTTCTCCTGCTCCTGCTCCTGCTCCTGCTCCTCCTCCTGCTCCTCCTCCTCCTCCTCTTATCCTCTGCTCCCATCTCTTCCCCCTCACCCCCTGCTGATCCTCCTCCTCCTACTCCTCCTCCCCGTCCAGGTTTGGCCGCCGCTTGGTGCTCACCTGGTGCTACCTGCAGATGGCCGCCATGGGCACCTGCTCGTCCTTCGCGCCCACCTTCACCGTCTACTGCCTGTTCCGCTTCCTGACGGGCATGGCCTTCTCGGGCATCGTCCTCAACAGCGTCTCCCTCTGTACGTGACTCCCGGTTCCTGCCCTGGGCACCTGCCTGGGTGGGCTCCGTGTCCCCCCTGAACCTGTGGGAACCATCCCAGTGGTGTCCATGTCCCATGGGCACCATCCCGGTGGTCTCCATGTCCCCTGGGCACCGTCCCAGTGGTGTCCCCATCCCCTGGGGTACCGGTGGGCAGTCGCGGGTGGTCCCCACGTGCCGTATCCCACAGCGCTGGAGTGGATGCCGACACACATGCGGGCACTGGTGGGGACCTTCATGGGGTACTGCTACACCGCCGGGCAGTTCCTGCTGGCCGGCGTCGCCTTCGCCATCCCTGACTGGCGCCAGCTGCAGCTCGCGGTGTCCCTGCCCTTCTTCGGCTTCTTCCTCTACTCCTGGTGAGGAGGAGGAAGGGTGAGGGATGGAGGAATGGAGGGATGGAGGGATGGATGATGGATGGATGATGGATGGATGGATGATGGATGATGGATGGATGATGGATGATGGATGATGGATGGATGGATGGATGGATGGATGGATGGATGGATGATGGATGATGGATGGATGATGGATGATGGATGGATGGATGATGGATGATGGATGGATGATGGATGGATGATGGATGGATGATGGATGGATGGATGGATGGATGATGGATGGATGGATGGATGATGGATGGATGGATGATGGATGGATGACGGATGGATGGATGGATGATGGATGATGGATGGATGGATGGATGATGGATGGATGGATGGATGATGGATGGATGGACGATGGATGGATGGATGATGGATGGATGGATGGATGATGGATGATGGATGGATGGATGGATGGATGATGGATGATGGACGATGGATGGATGGATGATGGATGATGGACGATGGATGGATGGATGATGGATGGATGGATGATGGATGATGGACGATGGATGGATGGATGGATGATGGATGGATGGAGGATGGATGGAACAGTGGGGGGTGCATGGACAGGTGGACAGAGGGAAAGGTGAGAGCAGAGCTGGACAAAGAGAACATCCAGGAACGGCTGGGTGGACAGTGGGGACATGGAGAGATGACCACAGGGTGGTCATTGCTGGTTGGATGGAGGTGGGACAGTGACAATGTTTGAGCTCCTGCGCCGTTCCCTCCCGCCCAGGTGGCTGACGGAGTCAGCGCGGTGGCTTGTCATGGTGGGGAGGTCCCACCAGGCCCTGCGGGAGCTCCAGAAGGTGGCCAGGATCAACGGGAAGAAGGAGGAAGGGGACAAGCTCGACATAGAAGTAAAGGGTCCCTTCTGGGTCCCCCAGGGTGTCCCTGGGACATTTCACAGGGGTCCCTTAAGTATCCACCCCATGGACGACTGTCCATCCATGGTCATCCCTTATGCATCCTGTCCATCCATCCATTCATCATCACCATCTCAATGACGTCCATCATCTCCATCTCTTCCATTTCCACCCATCCCATCCATCCCTTCCACCCATCCACGAATCCACCATCTTCATTCCGCCATCCACCCATGATCCTCCAGCCTCTGTTTCCCCCATCCTGCCCAGACCTGCCCAGGTTCAAGAGGGTCCCCCGTGCCCCACCCCCAT